AAACCACCTACCCACACCCACACCTTCCTAAACTCAGGCACAAAACAGAAGCGAGTCCCTTTTGGAGTGCTGTGGTAGCTTCAGCTTTGGTTTAAAATACAGCCCACCTTCAGGCCACTCACGTTTAACCCCATTTATCCCAGCTCTGAAGCTCTTCAGCACACACCACCACCTTTCCCCCTTATTCTTGCACCCTAGCAAGTTCTTCCCAAGGTTTTCTCAACGCCTGCTTGCAGCCTTTTCAGTCATCCACCTTTCATCCAAGTGCTCCCTTAATCCTTCCCATGTGAGCCCAGTAACTCCAGGAACCTGCCTGGACTGGCAAAAAGCAGAGTCCTGCCTCACCCACGTCTCACGGCTCCTGGTCTACAAGCCCTTAAAAGGCACCACAAACCATGTTTCCCACCTCTTCCTCTGCTGGCTGTCCTTAAGTTTCCTTTGCCAGCCTCTCGTGGTTACACAGGACAGTTTAATACAACCTCTCCTGGACTGCCACCCATTCCCCTGCTACATCCCCTCACTACTGGCACGTAGCTTCAGCTGGGAAACGGGATCTGCCAAGATCTCCACAACAGTAATTCACCGTCTGCTGCAACTTTATATATCCAGCCGTTTGGATCAGCTGCGGTGGGTGCTATGGTCATGCAGTCAGCGTGGTTAAATCATGTAAAAGGCAGTTTCCCCAACCTTTTTCAAGGAAACTGCTTTAATAGTGTCCATAACATCTTACTTCCTTCAGAGATTTCGAGACATAGTATCTACACATGAGAAGGGATCTTCTTCTCCTACCCAGTTTTCACAACAGGATCATCCCTTCCTCTTTCCATGTCGTCCATGCCTTTCATTTTGCTTCACAAATTTGCTAATGAATGTTCAAAGAGAAGTTTGTAGCACTCTTTCTGAAGGTGCTGAAGGCTTTTTTTCTCGTTTCATCCCTTTGCTGGAGCTGAGAGTTGCAGGCTACCTACAACTCCTCCTTCCTCCTTTAGGAAAGGGATGTCTGTCACCTGCACCTCAGCTTTGCTTCTGGCTACGTCCTCGGACTCAGCTCTTGAAGCTTGGTGATCCAAGATCTCCACACCGAGACCTCCACTCCAGGAATTTTTGGAAATACATTTCCATTAGCTGTCTTTTGAGTCCTGCAATCTGATATCTTCTGATGATGAAGTGTTGGTAGAACATCCCCCAAACACCCAGCACATTATCTCTGATACCAATAGCTGGCTCCTCTACACCAAGGAAGCCCCTCCTCTGAGAGGCAGGATGCTTATTGAAATACACTAAGCAAATTGGGATGCTCCTGGTCCTTGGTGTGGTTGGCAGTACACTCACATGTTACAGCCTTTAACATTTACTTCTGCAATCAATTTCTCTCTCTCCATCTTCGGCTTCTGAAGATTTTTCATTGGGATACTTCTGGCTTCCAGCTTTGGCACAGATCTCCCACTGCGACAAGGCAGCTCACATAATCCCACTGTCTGCCAAACACAACAGCCACCTTTCCCCAGGTATAACAATCCAGGATCCTTTGGCCATAGTCGGTTCCTCCACAGTGAAAAGTGCTGTTCCAAAGCAGTCCCACGTGGCCAGGGACAGCCCTGCCTGCTTTTAACTTTGAGCTCCAAAAACAACCATTCTCACCCAGAGTCCATAAATCCTGTTTCTTCAGCTCGATACATCCACAGTAGTTCCTCTATCTTTTGGATAAAGGGTTTCACACATCTCTCTTTCAGGCAGTCTCCTCCCTAAATGTCAGGGGTCTCTTCACCCACGTTTTGCAGATGTCCACGTTCTGGGCTTTGTCCTGAGTTATTCACCTTAATGGTTCTCCTGGACTCTGCCTGGAACCTCCCTCTAAGTCATTTGCTCACTCATCTAATCATACCCTTAATCCTTCCTGCCCAGGTCTAACCCCAACCAGCGAGCTGAGCCAAAAGAAAGATGCCCTGCCCCATCCATCACACCTTACTGGTCCCATGCCCTTGCCCATAATGGCACAGAATTTCCTAGATCATATTTCCTGATAACAATTGTTCCCCCAACCACCTTTTTTTGCCTCTTGATAACTGTCAAAGCCACGTTTTTGCCCTTTTGACCTCTCTGTGAAGTTTATGGCTTCCCAACCCATCCTCAGCCTTCTCAGGCAAATACACAGTGACGGTAGATTTCAGGCTTTCATGACAGGGGTCTAAAAAGGCAGTCAAGGAAGGAGAGGAGAGGAGAGGGGGGAAAAAAAAGTATTTCAAACAAATTAACAGAGAAAAACACATATTAAGCATTGCTAAGGCTGAACATATATATTAATGATATATATGGGGAAAAAAGAATATTGCTAGCATTTCCAAATGCAAGGCTGAAAAAACTGACCACAGTAAAACAAACAAACAGCATCTTCTTTGGACAGCAGGCTTAGTATTAAAAGTTGTGACATCATTCAAAAAAAATCCAGTTAGGCTTATCATATATTGAGCCTTTTGGGGTTCTTTCTGACCTCAGAAAGGGTTGGTTGCTTTTTAACTGTCATAAAGCAAAGGAGGAAAGACCAAATCCTTACTGCATAAAAATAAAGAGGCACAAGACTGCGCGGGACACTCTGGCACAGTCGCATGCCGTCCCATCACAGGAGCATGGGATAACAGACAAAAAAACCTGCTGGCAGGACAATCCAGCTGCACGTCGACAACGGGGCTGAGGACAGACCTGGGCATCCAACAGAAAATGGAAGCAAAAACTGGGGAATAAATAACTTTGGTTTTATATGAATGGGAAGTTTTTGTGTAGGAGTAGTAGTGGGAATAAAATTTCTTCACATTTTATTGTGTAATTTTGCTGTGTAGTAGTGTTTCAGTATGATTTATTGTGTAATGGTATTGCATGGCATCATTGGTTGAGCAACTCTGCTGCGTGGTATAGTTTTTTATTTAATGATATTGAAAGTTGGGCAATGGTCTTGCATGCCATAATTTGTGTTGTCTGTTGAGCAACATCACTGCTGTTCTTGACACAAAGGTGAATTGCATGGATTCACACAACAGTGCCGAATTCGTGATTTTAACATACATTCGCTCAAAGATGACAAATAGAGACAACGTCTTGTTCTGAAGGAAGACACGTGCAGGAAAGCTGCAAACTGAGCAGGTATTGAAGAGGAACTTTGGGCATTAAAATATGATTTTATTACACAGTAGTGCAGCATTGCCTCATAATGGCACTTTCTTATCCGGAGCTACATTGTAGCTACATTGTGTGGATACTGCCTTTCATATACCCATCCTTGACCCTAAGAACTGCAGGAGGACCTGGTTTCTACACAAGGCTGTGTACAAACAAGAATGGTGACACAAGTAGGATGTGACTTAGCCTCTGTCCAAAACCGTCCTTGCAGGGAGTCACTGAAATTCGGAACCTGAAATTCTCAGCACCTTACGCAAAAGGTGATTGATGCACTCCATAGCGGAACCCCACATTAACAGCAACACCACTGAACTTGGAGCAATCATTTAGCATGGGATTAGCGAGGACTTGGGCATATTCTAGATACCATCACAGTGGCATCCTAACACTGCTTAAGGCTCTCCAAAGCAGTGCAAGAGGAAACAAAATTTCACTGGATGGATAGTATTAATGTGAGTTACTTATCTTTACATTGCTTACATAAAGGAATCCCTCCTTCTTGGATTTTTTTTTGTTAGTGTTGTTTTTTCTTTTTTTGGGGGTGTAGCTTTTTTGGGGTGTTGTGTTTTTTGGTTTTTGTTTTTTTTTTTTCGGGGGAGCACTTTTGCTGACAACAAATGTAGTCTGCAGCTGAACTTAAATGACACATTTGAAGTTCAGAAAATAGATCAGAACTTTAAATCCTTTTTCAGACAAAGCAAGTAATCTGTAAGGATGTCAGCTTGGTACCCACACCTATTTCTATACCCATCCGAAACTGCTGCTGCCTGGCTGAGCAGCATCCCTCCTGCATTACCCGGGAAGCTCGGAGCAGGTGCCTGCAGCACGAGGCCGGGCGAGCAGGCGCTGGCAGATTACCCGTAGTGCTGCTGCAAGCATTTTCGTTTCATCTTACAGCCCGGCAGGCTGCACACAGCGAAGGAGAGCGATGCACATAGGCTTAGCAATCTTTAAAATACGGCAAAACCCAGAGGATAGCTGGGAAGGCTTTCCATGATAAAAAAATAAAAATAAAGTGAGCCCCTCCATCTATAAGATAAGATTAATTCCTTATCTGGCAGATGGCAGAACGGAGGGGGGCGGGAAAGCCAGGGCTGCTGGTGCAGCAGCGAGCTCCCCGCCTGCATCCAGGCCCCAGGTTTTTGGGTATCGGGCTGCCACAAGACACCTCGGTGGCCGTGCTCACTCCAGCGTGCTCCGTGCATGCCCAGGTTGGAAGGAAACAGCCCGGATCGTGGCACAGCCGGCTGGAAAGCGATGGAAAGCGCCTGGCTTGCTGCCCCAGCGCCAGCAGCTCCACATCCCGGGACCATTTTCTCCTCCTTCAGCATCCTCCGTGCCGGGTGTCAGCGCGCAGCGAGCCCGGGGGACATCAGAGCGAGCCCCCGCGTACTCAATATTGCACATTTAACATTATTTAGCATTATTTAAGGCCGCCCCACCCGCACCGCCGCCCGCAGCCACCTCCCCGCGCAGCTCGCCCGGCCTCCACCATTTGCCACACGCCGCTGCCAGCGGGCTCGGGGCCCGGCTCGCCCCAACCAGCCGGCTGCCCACCGGCTGTGGCGACCGAGGGGAGCCGGGGGAGGCTCCGGGGACACGGCTGTGAAGCGGGGAAAGGCGGCACCCCCTGTGTGGGGGTCCCCCCGGTGCCCCCCACACAGCGAGGAGCGGTGCCCCCTCCCCGGCCCGCCCGCCCTGCCGCCGTCGCCTTGGCAACGGAGCCATTTTGAGCGCGGTGCCGCTGCCCCCGCGGGCGGGGGGCGCCGGGCGCGGTGATGGCGGCGAGGCTCGGGCAGCCGCTGCCCGGTGCTCGGTGGCGTTACCTCGGATGCTCCAGGTCCAGCGGTAGAACTCGAGGGTGTCGTTCAGCACGCTGGACACGAGGCCGGCGGCGCGGGGGGGCTCGGCGGCAGCGGCACCCATGGCGAGCAGCGGAGCCGGCAGCACCTCTCTCGGTTGCGTGCGTCCGTGGCTCTGCGCCGGGGCTGCGGCGGCCGCTGCCCTTGTAGAGCCGGGGATGTGATTTAAATCTCTATCTCTCGGTATCTTCCCTCCAGACTCCGCCTCGCTCCCGTCAGCGGCTCCCGCGCCCCGCGGGCAGGGAGGAGGGCGAGGAGGCGGCCGGCGGGGGGGGGGGAGGTGGCGGCGGGCGCAGGCGCGGGGCCGGCCCCGGCGGCTGAGGGGAGCAGGTGCAGGCCGAGGGGAAGCCTGCTCTTGCCTTTTATTTTATCATCTAAATAAAATTTTTAACAGAATTGGGAATAAATCCTTCAGTCTCTTGTTGTTTTTTCTCTCCCGGGGCCTTCCCGCGTCGCGCGGTGAGGCGCTCGCTTCGCCTCAGGTGTTCACCTGTTCGCCTCGCCTCAGGTCGTCCCTGCTGAGGCGGCGGCGTTTTGGTCATCTTCCCCAAAAAACCTCACCTCCCGCTGCCTCCCCTCCCAGCACTGATACGAGCAGACCTCTCCGCCTCCCTGTCCCGCTGCTGGCGGTCTTTGTCTTTCCCTGACCAGCATCAACCCACTCTTCTCCATCCACTAATAACACGCATCTCGCACCTGCACGCCCTCCTCCATCTCCTCAACAAGAGTTTTTAATGGTGATTTCATGGCGCAGAGGGGTTCCCCCACCCAGGCTGCCGCTGAAGGCTGCAGAAGGAGCCTCCATGGCACAGGCAGCAGTAGGTGAGGCCGCACGTGCTGTGGGTGAAGTCCTGCTTCGTCGGGATCAACCCAGACAAGCCCTCTGCCTGATGTGGGTGCGCCAGCTGCTCCTGACACCCTTTGCTTCTTTTCTCCTCCTCCTGGCTTGCCACTCTCTCCCCAATGATCCACACAGCGTGGATGGCTGAAATGCACATTTGGGGCTGGTTTCCTCACTGAGGGGCAGGAGGGGAGCCTGTCTGCCCGTGTCACAAGCCTTCCTTCTGCCACACAGCAGATGAGATGTACCCACCTCTCCCTGCCCCAGCACACTGGTGCCATGGGTTATTTATTTGTCACTTGGTCCTCATGAGCACAGCTAGCACTCCTCCTGCTGGGTGAGTCACCTGCCACTTGGCTCCTGGACTGCCTTGGCAGCGCTGATCCCAGCCCTATGGACGAGAGAGGCACAGTGACCATTGCTCCCCGGCGAGCAGAGCTGCTGTACCTTGGAAAACCAGCAGTTTGGGAGCAGGGATCACTGACTCTGGGAAAAGAAGGAGGAGCCAGCTCATCCTCTGGAGGTCTGGATGGAGAGGGTGGTCCAGTTTACCCCAATGCTGCATGATGGTTGGAGCCGAAGCAAGGTTGCCATATGCTAATGCATGGATGGCTGCTTGTTCTCTCATGTGGGAAGAGTCAATCAAAACTCTGCATCAATCGTACTGACTTGGGTTGCATTCTGTTCTGATGACACTGATCATTGCAGAAGGTCTGGTGGGAGCCCTGCAGTGGATCTGTCACCAAGTAGGGCTCAGTGAACACCAGCCTGCTTCCCCAGCTGCAGGCAGACAGCACGGTGTTAGCTGTGGTTCCTGTGCCTCCTTCAGGTGAAACCACTGCAGCGTAGCACTGCGCAGGTAGAAACTTCACGTGCATATTTGGCATCAACTAAAGCAAGGATTTCGATTTTTGTCAATGTTATCTCTTAAATTGAAAGGAAAACCAGAAGAACAAGCTTCAGATTGATGTATAGCCATTTGTCTTAGCCAAATGTTTGAATCCAGACAGGCTACTGAATGACTGAACATGACAAAAGGTCACGGTCCTTTACCACTCCTGATGTCATGCAAGATATGGACTAAGCAGAGCACCACTAACACACGGAGTAAAGATCCACAGCCTAGCAAGGAACAAAAAGGGATAAGACAGCATATAGATAAGCCAATGAAGATAAGCAATATTAATACGTATTCATAATAGGTATTATTTATACTACAGCATAGATATACTTCTTTATTAGAATTATTATATCCTTATTCTTATGACTTTTTTGCCCAACTAACACCAATAATAATTATTGTATATGAAATAGGTATATGATCCATTTTATCATTTCATCTATTTCGGTTTAAATACCTTTTCTTTGACTGCAATAAATTCCTTCATATTAGTAATGGGATTGTACATACAAAACTCTGCAGAGCAATTAAGCCTTAAAACGCCTTGAAAAGAGCAGCAGAGCTGCAGAATATGGACAACAGGGAGGAGATGAGCAGTCTAAGAGCAACTTCTCTTGTTCTTGAAGAATTGACATTGCCTTAAAAAATGTGGTGAAATTTATGACAAACTATTATTAGTTTAACTTTCAACCTGCAAACAAATGGAAATGGTTTTGAAATTAGGTGTAGGTCTACAGGCTTCCAAACACATCCCAGCTAGTTTCCTGTCTTTGTGCACCCAGCAGGATGTTCTGGCTCTAAGAAAACTGAGAACCATGTCTTAAAGAGAGGAGAAGGAGGAAGGCATCCGAAGTAAAAACACCCAAAAGCATCCAAGGAAATCTCCAAAAAGGTAGTCCAAAAAAGATGATTTTTTAATGTAATTAATTAACAAGACCTGACATCTTCTACTTGTTAACCTAGGTAATCCATGTGTTCCTAAAACCTGGCATCTCAGATGGGCAATTTTTTTCTCATAAAAGGCAGGCCCATTGTAGGTAATCCCAGAGGAATGCAGAAAATCCCAGCTGAGCTCCGGCCACTTGTCCAGTGCTGCAGGGTGCTTGTGCTGGCAGCGGGTGAGCCAGAGTGCTTAAGGAAAGGTGCAAAAGGTAACAGGAAGTTATGGGATATCTAGCCCCAAGGAAGGTCTCCTCCCAGCTCCTATTAGAGATTTGCTTATACCCCAAGACACAAACAATTTGTCTTCCTTCCAGACCTGTTTGTAAAAAAAGCAATGTAATATCTCATTTCAGAACTTTCAAGCCATGTTCTCATTCTTCATGACCAGAATAAATAGCAGTATAAATGTTACCTGGGGAGAAACACCAAGAACATCTGAGGAGGAACAACCCCAGTTCATGCTGGGGGCCCCCCAGCTGGAAAGCAGCTCTGCAGAAAAGGACCTCGAAGTCCTGGTGGACTCCAAGTTGAACGTGAGCCAGCTATGTGACCTTACCACAAAGAAAGCTAATGGCATCCTGGGCTGAATTAGAGAAAGTATTTCCTGCAGGTCAAGGGAGGTGATACTTACTCTCTACTCATCACTGGTAAGGCCAGACCGGCAGTGCTGGGTCCAGTTCTGGTCTCCCCAGTATGAGAGAGACATGGGCAGACTGGAAAGAGTCCAGCAAAGGTCCACAAAGATGATGAAGGGACCTCCACCATGAGGAGAGGCTGAAGGGTTTGGACTGTTCAGCCTGGAGAAGAGGAGGCTCAGGGGGGACCTCCCCTTCTTACATGAAGGGAGGGTGAGAAGAGGATGTGACAGGGAAAGGGAACACAGGAGGTTCCCTCTGATCATCAGGCAGCACTTCTGTGCTATGCAGGTGATGGAGCACTGGCACAGGTTGCTCAGAGAGGCCGTGGTGCCTCCCTCCTTGGAGACCTTCAAGGACCTGGTCCTGGTCCAGCCTTCTGAAGCAGGGACTGGAGCAGGTGTCCTCCAGAGGGGCCTGCCAACCCCAGCCATTCTGGGGTTCTGGGATTCTGCTACAAAGTCTGAGTGATCTGTGCAGTTAGCAATGCACGTGAAAAAGCATTTACTCATGAATTTCAGTGAAGTGTGTTCTATTATACATGTAATATCTGATGAATGAGACAATGCTTCTGCAATTACTGAAAGCACTTGGGGTTTGCTTCAGGCTAGCAATGAGAGTGTTGTGAGGGGAAAGTGACATCTAGGGTATGCGGGGTAACATTTGTGAGGTGTATTAGGGAGAAAGCAGCTGGAGCTTTATATATTGCCACCAGTGACCTCCTCCGGGCAGCTCATCAAAATATATAAACTGGAGTAAAGGAACTTTGCTCACCTACAAGGAGCGTTATGACAACCAGGAACTTTCCTGGTGGGGAAGTCATGAGAGGACTTGAATCAGTTTTGACAGATCTACATATTCAGCCATGGGGTGAGAGACAACCAATTCACTTATTAATAAAAAGGGGGTACAAGATATTGTATATATTAAACATGACCAAATTAAAATTGTTCAGAAGACCTTAATTTTAGAAAATGTATGCATTTTAAATACTTTAGATACTAAACTATCATATTTTTCATTTGACTTCATAAATGCTTTAAGAGGGAAAATGATAAAATAAATCAGTAAATTAGTTTGTAGCATATGAAATTTCTTTACACAGCCCATCAAATTTGTCTGGTCCTTGCATCAAAGCTTTATAGCTGATACGCATTTTGAAGATGGCTAGTTGTGCCAAAAAAGCTTGTCTGATCTTTGAATCAACAAGTACAGGCTCAAGTGTGTGCACATGCAATAGTACAACTGCTACCTGCTCCAGTGTAGAGTCTGGTTTAATGCACTTTTATGCTATGCAAGCTTAAAAGAGGCTGTTTTCAAACAACCATAATTTTTTTTTTTAAAAAAGCATTAATACCAACAATGTGTCTTTCAGCACTAATTAATTTTTTTTATTACGTAACATATTGTTACATCTGTAATTTGAGGTGGGGTAACTAAGGGATTACATAGTTTTGACACAGAGAGTCTTCAGCAGGACCTGAAACAGATCCAGCCCTTTGTCTTCTGAACAGCCTGCTAGATGCTGTCTGTCCTCCCATACATTTTACTGCATCAAAACAGATTTTTCCAAAACAAGTGTTTTGGAGAGAAGTCTCAGAAAGTATCCAGAGATGTCAGTACTCAGTGAGGACTGTGGCCAAAATGAACCTTTGATGTAAGTTCCCACTAGGTTTGACCTAACCTGAATATACCTGCAGCAGTGTTCCAGTTTTTTTTCCAGTCCATACCAACTGCAAGTTTTAAACCTCAACCATTTTTGCTGGGGCTCTATCTAAACCCAGAATTTAAATACATTTAATATCATGTCTTAAATACTGAAGGGCCGGATCCAACTGAGGGAATTCCTAGTGATGTAAATACAAGTTTTGTTTCCAGAGGATTTTATTTACATATGGATATTTCTTCTCCACCTTTCTGCACATCTGGTCAGCGAGCAGAGGTATCAGCCCGCAGTGCTGA